CGAAAGATCTCATAATCAATAATTTCTGCAACATTTCATGATGTTTCTAATTATACGATTTACGACGATTATTATTTATTGATTTTATCATTATGTATTTATTGAGTGTGATATATTTTAAACTGTATATATTTACTGGCAATTTACCGACGTGCCACCGCCGGTAGCTGGCATTCACTTTCCCGCCAACACAAGTCATGTGACTCGACTAGTTTAAAGTACCTGTCATCATATGACCACATTAGATACATTGGTTATGTCAACGGCGGCATTAACATCAACAAAACTCATTAGCTCGCGTAAATACATGAGAAGGCACTGTCGTTTCTTGGTATATGTATGTGCTTGTACGGATCTAAAAGGATTGTAGAATTCCTCTCGACGGGAACAATACGCGCAAGTGTCAGCGAAAGCTGGGTCGGATTTAGTCATGTGGCAAAGGGCGAGGAAGCGACGGCGCGTCGAGGAATCCAAGAGGAATTTGTTGACTGAAATGTAATACGTGCTTTGTAGTACGGATGCAGTACTCATTGTCAGACAACGCGTGCACGTGTGGCATTCGTATCTGTGCGCGCTCGTGCATAAATATATTGTCTGTGGCATGCTCTACTGCTCCAGTGAACAGAGATTGGCGCTAACGTCTGTTGTATGTTTACAGCACCCCGGAGAATGATATGATGGCGTTTATCGACGATGACTCGCTGATGGACGAGCACAACAGACGCGACGAGTGCCGGGCGCTCTCGCCGTCCATGTCCCTGCGACCACCTCATCTGCAGAACGGCTGGGGCAGCTCTCTGGGGCAGCGCATCAAACAGCAGCAACAGCAACAACAACAGCTGCTGCAACAGCAACAGCAGCAGCTGTCGTCGAGGAAGCCGGTCCAAGTGGCGAGTTCCAACGTGAATAACAATAACAACAATAACAACAGTAACAATGCCAATGCCGGTAACGGATACACATTGTTCAGACTGTACTTGACGAGATGATACTAAGAACGCAAAATGTGAATGAGCATGTGGCTTCCTCTTGTTTAGTGTTAGAAGGTACAGCGGGTCAGGGTTCACCGCTACGTTCAGGCCTAAATCTGCAACTGCGCTCGCACGCTTCCCCGAAACTTCCAGTGCAGGAGTGCCCAATGTGCCCCTACAGTTCCGACAGTCCGCTGAGGCTGGAAGAGCATATCAATCGCCAACACTTTGATCTCACCTCGCCGTCTTTCCCGCCGGAATCACCACCGTCGCGGGACGGAGTCTTCAACTGCCCCCTTTGTGTTACGTCTTTTCCGAATTCTTCTGATCTTGAGTTACATGTCAATATCGAGCACAAAGATATACTTAGGTATGACTCGTCTATCTTTGCGATATTTAAAGTAGCGTTATGACTTGCGAGATAATCAGTGAATCAATAGTGAACAACTATGATAAATGTTTAATAATGATTTATTTTTGTTGTTAGCCCCGCAAACGGAACAAGCTCACAATCCGATACGGCTACTATCGGTAGTAGCGACTCAACGCCTGCCTGTCCAGTATGTCTTAGTACATTATTTAAGAATAATGACGACCTAATGGCACACATCGAAGAACACTTCAACAAGAAGAGCACGCCGTCACCCGTGACGCCGGACGTGTCGACCGACCGTATGCTAGCGAAGGACATGGAGAGGAGAGAAAAGGAAGTGAGGAAACTGCGCGAGCAGCGTGAATTCGAGATGCTGAGAGCGCAGTACGGTATGGACAATCAGGGTAACTTCAGAGAGCAGAGTGTCACCAATATGCAGCGGGCTGTGTATGCGGGCGAAATGACGGTGGCCGATTTCTTCGAGAGACAAATCGAGCTCAGAGTCGCCGAGAGTAGCGGTATCGACGACGGCAGTTCTTGTACACGTGGTATGTTCGACTTAACAATTGTCATCCGTGCACGAAGAGAGTCTAGCCTTTGTCCAAGACTATTAGCAGCATATTATTTCTTCTCTTGCAGGGCTGGTCCCGAAAGTACGAGCCATTAGTCAGGCTTGCAGTAACGTAGTGAATACCTGGATGTGTTCCACTGTGGACCATTACGCATCGACTTACGGCGATAAGGGCTGGGGCTGCGGTTACAGAAACATGCAGATGCTAATCTCGTCTCTCTTGCAGCACACAGGATACAACGATCTAGTTTACAAAGCGTGGAGCTCCGGAGCCGGCAGCTCCACGGAGAATCCCCTGCGCAGCTCCATGCCGTCGATCTCGAGGTTGCAGAAGATGATCGAGTGGGCGTGGGCGCAGGGCTTCGATATCCAGGGCGCGGAGCAGCTCGGCGGTAAACTCGTTAACACTAGGAAGTGGATCGGCGCCACGGAGGTATTCACGCTGCTGTCTAGTTTGAGGATAAAGTAAGTTCCATGAACGCAACTGGTCGCCAAGTCATACGACACACATTTTTCTCTCCCTGACTTCGTACAGATGCCAGCTGGTGGACTTCCATAGGCCTACCAGCGCGGATGGCGGCCATCCCGAGTTGTTCAACTGGGTCCTGCAATACTTTCAAAGATGCGAAGAATTCAAGCCACCTCTTTATCTTCAGCATCAAGGTAAACTCTCTTCTTTTCGCGTATATCTTTCAGAAGTTAAAGCCACAAGTTGACACACTCAATGTTTAATTGACAATAAATTTAGGGCACAGCAGAACGATCATGGGCGTGGAACAGCTGAGGGACGGCTCCATAACCATGCTGGTGCTGGATCCGAGTCATAGTCCGGCGCAAATGGCGCATTTCAACAGCACGAGTAGCGCGCCCGGCGCGATGAGGCTCGTGCGGAAGTCCACCGCGGCAATGAAGGCCAGACAGTATCAAGTTGTGGCTGTAACCGGTACTATGGATACAGAAGCGCAGTATCAGGTAATATAGGCGCCTTAAAATAGCCTCTTTATTTATTAACGGTACGCACGACGCGCCTAGTTTTTCACTTCTTGTTTTCTTTTCTTTTTTCAGCAAAGTAAAGTATTACGATCAATGCGAGTTCCTCAAGACAGGTGAGAGTTGCTGGTCCGAGAAATGATCAAGCCTTGGGCAAAGACTATAGACTACTGCCTCAAACCAATCTTATCCGATATCCTTGAAGTCACGTGACCGCGATGTCCTATGTTCTTCTACCGCTAGCAGACTTATTCCATTGTAGTATATTATATATAGTTGCAGATCGTATTATTTAACGATATATTCTTGCATCTCTCTAGCCGTTAAACGATGGACTGACTAATTCTCGAATAGTTGTGCCCGCGTGAAAGCCTGTGACGCGGTGAACAATTTTGCGGAGCTAATATTTAAATATCAAAAGATGGCTCTTCGTCGCGTCGCTATAAGCGAATAATGTAATTTTTTCCCCAACAGGAGAAAGTCCTTGATATCTTAAATAAAAATTTGTCGTACTACGTGCGCGTGAATTTCTGCGAAGAGAATTATCAGATCGTGATGGGGGCGAAAGGCCCCTTCCTCGCGCCCCCGCGGGAAGATAATGTTAAATCGACCGTCATCTCTTGTCCAAAATGTTCTGCTCAATTTTCGTCGCACTGAACAGGCTGTGCTAACCCTTAGTCAACCAATCGTCTTGTACCGATTTGGTTGCACCATCGAAAAAGCCGTGGCAGAGCTTGGGAAACGAGACTTTTTCGTAGCTGTGATGCTGTTATCAATACGACGCTAATCACTTACATTCTAACGGACGCACTCTTGGAAACGCTCCAGAATCAACGCGGTGTTCCCAGCACTTGTCTCGTTCTACATCCTACAATCTGTGACAAAGATTTCCATCAAAGCGTTGTCGACTTTTAGTCAATATAAAAAGTGCCGAGAGCCGTACGGTGTTATAACCTTACGACAAGTTTTATATAACAATACGAAAGAGATATTCTTTGACGCATTTTGACTTGCTAAAACGCTTCTATGAAAGAATCTGGAGTGTCTGCAAAAGTGACCAAAAAAATCGCATTTTCATAAATTATATATATTATATACTATATATATATATATATAAATATACATATACACACAGACACCACACAACATATATATACACATCTGCACACTCTTCGTTATATCGTACTTCACTTGCCCACACATAAAGTACAACTACTTTCATATTATAAATACTCTATTTAATTATCCTATCGACTCTAGGCTACTTATGTCATAGTTCGTAAGTCCAACGCAATGCTGTGAATGAGAAGATAGATGAAAAAAAGTCCATTTACTTGTTATTTATATTATACACTTGACAATTTTATGTGAACTAGTAAATTCTTATTATTACTCTTATCATATTTCATAAATTGTACTGATATATCTAAGATCTATTTATTATAGTTAAAAATATATTTGCGACCATTCTATGAGGACGCGATGCCTCGCGGCAAACGTCGCGCCGTTGTTTTATATAGCTTCGATATTTATGATGCACCAGTCAAATATGTAAGTTTGTCTTTCAGCCCAGTAGGACCACATCGCAATAACGTTATTGACTGGCTGTAAAAATTGTCAAAAAAGAAACCGATAAATTATAATTATTATAGTACTGGAGATTTCGCCATGTATCGATTTAAGAATCTGTTCATTATTTGGAGTGTTCAGGGAAACCAAGCTGTGGAATTGTTATGCAAGAGTAAAACCTTCGCATTAGCCACACATCAAATTCAAAAATATATGCTTTGTTAGAATTCCCAATTTGGCTTCGCTCCTTACTCTCTATCCTATTTCAATTTTATTCCAATGAAAGCAAAAAAAGAAGACTGGAAATGATTGACTTACAATTAGCGGAAATTTAAATAAATCAACATAAATCTCAATAATCTCAAAGCTATCTGCTTCTTTAATAAATTAGCAACTTTATAATTTTACTAATAAATTCATAAGAGAATATATAATTAATTTTGTTATTGCTCCACAACTATCACTATTTTCTTTTGTAACGTACTTGTGTTTGAAATTGATTTCTATAAATTAAACTTGAGAAGAATTTCGATCAGTTAATCTTTAATCCTTTGTTGTAAATTATCTCGGTTTTATAATATACTTTTACATATATATCCTATATTTTAATTAAGAACATTCGCATTTTGAAATTCATGTTCGTATACCCATCATTAGGTGTGTTTTTCCAGAGCTCTTTTAAAATAACTAGTATTAACTTCGTAAGATATTACTGAATTAAAATCTGCCATCAACTTGCTTTTTCTAATTCAGGATCAATGGATGCAATGATATTTCCATCAATCACTTTCAATGTATCACAATTAGATTGATAAATCTTATTGAAATAACAACTTTTATTTCTTACACATAATATATTACAACAGTCTACTTCACATTTCTCAAAGCTCGTTCAAAACAAAATTAACTTATATAGATTAGATTTTTGTAGCTTTACAATACTTTATTCTTTACCAAATCTAAAAAGAAAATTATTTACACAAAGCATAGATGCATAAACATATAAATATGCTTATATAACCTGAGACTCTTCAAGATTTTCTGCAGAGTATGTTCACTGCGACAAAGATGTCTTGTCTGTGTCAAGATATTTGTTACTCTATTGCGTTTTATATATTAAATCCCATTGATCGCATACAAGTTTTATGCGCTTCTATGAGGTCGCCGCAATTTTCCTCGCCCTTTTCTATAATACTGAAAGCATATAAAACAATTTCGTGATATAAAGCCTTTTGTATATGAAATAGTACTTTACAAAAAAATAAATATCAATTTTCCTTGATTAATTTTAGACGTAACTTTAAAAAAGAATGTACAAAATTACCAATTATATACTACATTAAAATATAAGTAAAAGAATTTCATTCAATAAATGAGACAGCAATATTTCTAACCTAACACAACTTCATATTCGTGATTTAAAAATTACGCACCATGCGTCTCTCACTTTCTTAGTTTCAGGACAGGCGCAGCAAGGTTTCAGCTTTTTCTTTTCTTCCGGCTTCGCTACTACTTTCGCTGCAGAGTTACCCATTTTTTATTAATTGGAAAAAAAAACTCCGACGTAACAATTCGCAATAATATACGAATATTATGTTTACGTGCGTCGTGGGGAACCTGGGACCGGCGATCTCCCCCGTACACTAGCGCTCCACGTTTTCAAAAAGGGAACTACGTACCACGTTTATCTTATAACATTGTCGATCAAATCGATCAAATCATAACACGAGACCGTGGACGTGGTTCGTGTCCGTGCTATTCGTGCATTATATATAGGTTTATTTTTTATAGCTGAACTGGCTACACTAGTTCAGAGTTTATCTTTCTTCTTCCAATGTAGAAAGAGAAAGATAAACTGTGAACTAGTGCAGCAGTTCAGCTATAAAAAACAGGCATTATGCCACATTCTTCACCTACAAATCGCAAGTGCACGCACGCCATTAGTACGGCGGGCGCCTGTATGTAGGCCACCCAACGTGCAGCGCACTTTCTCGAAAGCACATACAAACACGATTTCAGCAATAAAACACTATATGGTATATATATGTACAAGACATTTAATTTTTCAATTTTTATTGTATATAAGTATATATAAAATTGCGATCTTTTATCCTAAAAATGTATGGATAATTACATAATTAAAAAAATGCATTGAAATAATTTTGACTTATAGCTTGGCGCGATCATTTCTTTTTCGAGTTATTCTGCCGTCGCAAAATCGTGTGCGATTATCGTTGAAAATTTTATACGAAATATCGCCATCATAATTTACCGTGCTTTTTCAGGAGTACTTTTTGTGTATGCATAAAAATACTGAAATGTAATAGTGTCACTGCTACATTTCAATAGTATTTTTACTGCACTAATAGTTTATTTTTACGCGTAGTATGTATGAAATAAAAGAATTTAAAAGCAGAAATAAGTCATCGGACGACGATGCTCGACGGATCAACACCATATATCATCAGGTAATTTTTACTTTTCATTGTATAATTCTTTTTGGAAGTTATTTAATTTAAGAATTTTTCACATTTTTAAAAATTTTACAAATTACCAAGAACTTTCCGCATTTCCATGAATTTCCTTATCAGCTCTTCATGAGTTTTTTATATTTCCAAAAATAAACGGAATTCCCTGAATGTTAATTTTTGTATATACACTCATCGCATGCTTGCACGTATACATTATTCACGCGATACAAAACGTACGTACACGATCGAGACTTGAATAACATATATGCATCAGAGTTATTATTAGAGAGCGTTTATTTACGTGCGCAGCTTTAAATACAATTTTATTAACAACTTAAACGAATAACAGGCGATACTTCTTAATCAAATAACAATAATAAAACATATTTTAATAATCTTGACATTCTGCGTTTTTCTGAAAAGTCGTATCTTCGGAGATTCTCTAAATATATACACTATTTACCAAAAACTTGTTACGAGGGTTAAGTAATGCGGTGTTGAAAAATGATCAGTAAACGATATATATCGCAGTGCGCGTGGTTTCGATTACCGCATTTTCTCTTTAATCCATCGCATCTGCCGATCGAATATCGAAACCTTGGAGAGGCAGATGGTGTGTCGGGAAGGAACATGATTACATAGCAGGTGTATAGCTGCTGAGCGCGCACGCGGGCGCGAGACAGGTGAAATGCATGGAGACTTTAATTTCTACTTGCGTTTATATACAAGATCGCCACCGAACTTTCGGAAAAGCCAAAAGACAGTGAAAGAAACATTACAAGAATGTACAGCAGCAGAGATCCGCATGTCTCGAGAGCCGAAAACCTCGCGCGATGAGAGAGCATTTTCTAATTTCGATGCGTTCAATTCAACTCGCGATCACGAAATCAAGCCGATCGTCGCGGATTTCATTGTTGCAGCTGAGATTTTATTTGCGCGCAGGAGAAATCTAAAGACGATTTATTTCGAGCAACGACGCTGTCAGGGAATACACGCCGTGCGCGGAATACGCGATCGATCGTATACTCCACCCGCGGAGTGTCCCGGAGTACCGGATCGGTTCGTTCACGCGTGTGCACGTGCGGTCGATGAGAATTAATCGTTTCTCATGCCCCGCGCGCACGGCGCGCCGCTTCATCGGTTTTTCCCAGGGCGACGCGATTTCCGACCCGATACCTCTTCTCTTCCTCGTAAATAAGATCCGGCGCGGTGGGAGGAAACGATGAATAATTTTGCCGGATGAATACCGAAACGGCCGTACGTATATACGTCGCATCTCTCTATACGATCGGCGTCCCTCATCGGGTGAGGTACTCGTCATGACGAGAATACCAGTTACGAGCGACCGTGAGACTGCAAGAAGAGAGGAAAAAAAAGAGAAACAGAAGCAGAAGTTCGGAGTCACGTTTTTCTCTCCGACGTTGCAACGCGCACCTGTCCCGAAAAGTAATCAAATGATTTTTCCGATTTGATCCGAGGGACGACCCTCCTTTATGCTGGTGGCAGTAAATCGTGTCCGCGCAGTGTCATAAAGTTAGTCCGCGGCAGGCTATAAAACAAATCCCAGCTTTCTTCGCAGTCGGCGATCCTTCCGGCCAAACTAGTTTCGGTGAAGCCAATTAATCCCGTCGGCGGGAATTGACTCGGATGACGAGGGACGCATCGATATCGTAATACGAAGTCAATACGTGTCAACGGAGATAACTTGGTATCGCCTGTAAAAATAAATGGGTTTTAAATGCAAAAATATTCTCCATCTAAGGTCATTTTGTCGAGACATTTTCGAGAGAATTTTCGATGATCGACATAAATTTTTGAATTTTTGTATGATGTTTGCAATTAAATTTTCAAAAACCTTTATCAATCAGCTGATCATATCAAATTTTATCTTAAAATTTCTTCAAAAATATGCAGTCTTATATTCTCAATTTTTATCGAACTTTTTACAAAGTTTTATACTAAATCTGCTGATTCAAGCAAGTCTCGCGAGTCATTCCCTGTTTCACATTTTCGTATCGATCGATATCCAATCCCGTTCATAAAGAATGAGAATCGGTAACCACCACTCTCACGCGTGAAGTATAGTGTTTCAATGTCAGTCGCAGGAAGTAACTCGATACAGTTGGCTTCTGAACACGTGCGGATGCTTAAGCGAAATATGTCGACCGCCGACCGGATGGGATTCGCACGATTAAGCGCCGGATCCGCTTCGACGATATCGACGATATCGGTATGAACCAAGTATATTGATATTCTATAAAGCGTGCCTTGGCAAATGGACGTAGCACATTTCACGAATGATTTGACTCAACTATGATTTATTTTTATTAACTTGAAGATATATATAAATGACAAATAATTTATTAATGAAATAAAAAAAAATAACGGGCCGTTTATACGGTATTTGCGTCGTAGCTGCGAGGCACTGCCCGACCGGAAGACTGAGGGTCGACATGAGAACCACTATAGGGAGAGTAGGGGGCAGAAGGGCGCGTGCCAAAGGGTTCGCATATGCCGTAGTTAGTTTTACATCCCCGTGTCCCTTTCTGGAAAGGGAAGACCGCCATCGCGTCAGCATCGCCGTCTCACATGTGTGAGTCTCCGGTTACAAAAAACGAGAAGAAAAGAAGAAGGGAGGGACGTTTCCGCAGGAAGCACCACAACCTGCAGGATCCCTCTTTCGCCCCTCGTCGAACGTTCACGTGAGGCGCGCGGGCGAACCGCAGCGGTGGATAATCGTACATGCGAGTCGTGTGCAATTATTGCGCCCAAAGGATCAGAGCGAGCGAGCGTAGACGCGAGGAGGATGGATCCTTTTTTTTTTACCTTACATCGCGCGATCACTGTGATTTCGTATTGCCACAACAATTTACCCTCGCACCCCCTCCCAGAACCCGTGCATGTTCTAACCGAGTACATATCCTCGGCGAAATTATGCGAGTCGCGGAGCTAAGTGAACGCCGCGATTACTTATTAGCCGCACGTAACTAAGTCGGGCGCAAAAACGCGAATTGATCCTTGGCGAGCGACGCAAAAAACTGAATGAGCGGCAAATGAGATATCAGCGGCAATCCTCTCCAGACGTCGGGAGGAAAAATACGAATGCGTTATTTAAATAAATAACTCATTCCGGAGCAAAGTCATAATTTACATTTCCCCGCCGTTCATTTAAAGATCAGTTAAGTTAGATACAGAAATCGCATCTAAATCGTTGGATTTTTCTCAATTTTAACTTCGCGTCGCTTTTTCCGACGAAGAAAAAATTTTGTTACACATTCGATTTTATTTTGGAGAAGCGGGAAATATATTCAGTGGAAGAATTCTATTTTTGTGGAATTTAATGGCAAGTCCACTGAGCCGTGGACAGTCAATACGTCCCTGTACCGGGGCCCCGAAGGAAGGGGACCGTAGGTAAGCAGCTGCGAGCATCTGCAGGGGCAGCGCAGCAGCCCGCGTGTTTAAATTAGTCCCGGCACAACTGTCGTGCGCGCAGCATGTCTGGAAGACCGTTCTCGAGTCCGGTGTGTCGAAAATTGGATTAACGAAAAATCGTGAAAGAAACTAGCCCTTAACTCAGCTCAAGTCGTCTGGATTTTTATTGCATACACAGATACAATTGATTCACTTCGGTATTTTTGATCAAAATTAACTTCTCAAGTGATCTTCGATTAGAAAATCATCTGTGATAAGAAATTAAAAATATTTCTTTTTAGAAACGGCATCTGTAATTAATAATCAAGAGTATTTATGGGTAATTGCGGTTAAATTTAAGTGCAGCGGTTAAAAAAATAATAATGATAGATTAACTTCGTTGGCTGTATATCCAACTGTATTCGATAAAATAAATTTAAAAAAGAGACAAATTCATGGCCCTGGTGAAGCAAACAGTAGAATTCGCTTGATGATCGTATGAAGGATCAAAAAGGTAGAAAGGAAGCAGATGAAAATGTTGCTACTCAGGGTGATTGTGACGTTGGTTGCGTGCTGGATCGTCAAGTGCGATCTGCTGGATCTTTACGTCCAGCACATGGACGAGACCATGAGGACGATGCGGTACAGCAGTAAACGGCATCCCATGGATCCTGTTACTAGAAGAATAAAGAGGAGCCTCGAGGAGGGCGAACCGCTGCTCAAGATTGGTAACTTCAAGAAGCAGCGGCTGGACGTCGATGAGAATTGGTTGAAGCAGTGGAAGCCTGAGAGTAAGATTATTTCTTACGGGAATGACGCTCTGGACCATCCGAACGAACTGGAAAAGAACCTGGATCCTGATCAGCATGAAATATTCTCGAAATACTTCGAAAATACGTCGATAGTTCCCGAAGACGCTGCTGAAAATTCGCAGTCGAATGTCCCGCAGGATCCGATAACTGAGGTATGGGAGGGAACATGGGAGAGTGAGGTGACAATCGTGGAGAATCAGACCAACGTCGAGGAGTTGCCTGTCGAGATTCTGGTGTCCGAGGAAGGATTCCCGGAGGAAAACTGGGACGCCGAAGAAACGGAGGGTAAAGATAACACGCAGTTCGAGATAATCAGCGAGAACGAGCAGATCAATCCGAAGCCGTTTGTCAGTACGAGCTTCAAGAGGTCGCCGAAGTCTCGGAATAGCCGGGTGCCAAAGAAGTACTTTCCGGAGAAACCGAACAAGAAGAGCCACGTCAAGGACGAGGCGGCGACGAGGTCCAGGAGAAGCGCGAACCACGGAGTTAACGAAGGCATATCTAACGACGTCAAACGGTCATTCATAAAGTTCACCAGATACGAGAAGCTGGACGAGAACGGTGATGTAATCCTCGAGTGGGATCCTTCGGACGAGGAGGAGGTGATCTTCAGGATAACCGCCAAAACCCTGGGCTACGTCGGCATCGGTTTCAACGAGAAGACTAACATGAAAGGCGCCGACATCCTGCTCGTTTGGGTGGACGATCACACCGGCATTGTCAATCTACTGGTAAGTTTGGTTTCCAGACGAGATTCTGTCCCGATGTCCTCGATAATCGTTGATCTATAGAAAAAGGACCCGAAGGGGGGCGTGCGCGATCCGATCGATAAATCTCGATGCCCGAAAAGGTGTCCAGGATCCTGTCTACAAAAAAGTATCGAGGCTGCATAACTTCGACCCGCTGGCCAAGTCGAATTATACGTCTATATTATCGAGCTCTTGTGGTTTCTTACATAATCTATCGTCTTAATGAAATTAGATAACGAAACAGGGATTTGTGGTTTTCAACATTATGCATACATCAACTTAACGTTACTCACAATACTGATCTTTCTAATGCGATTTCTCTCTCGATAATTGATTTCCTCGGGACACAATGGTCCTTTCGATAATTAATTTAAAACTGAACGAATTTAATTTAGCAATCTCTTCGAGGGATTTTCCTTTCCTTGATTATTCACAGGCGGCAAATTATTTTCACACGACTGCGACGCGATAAAATTTAACGCGGTCGTCGCGCAGAAAAAGATTTCCATCGGTATGAGAACGCGGGCAAGGATTAATAAAGCGATCGCGCTCTATAAGTAGACGGACTATCGTCGTCGCTCAACCGTGTGGGAAGAACTCGTTTTGCTCTTATCTTGTTTATCGATTGCGTATTGCGATCGGCGCGTACGATCGCGTGGAATCAATGCAGCTTCTTGCTCGACGCATTTTTTTTTTTTGCAAAACATCCAGTTCTCTCTGTGTCACTTCAATGATAGAATTAATGCGCAGAATACTTTCAGGATCGTTACAAAGATAGACAGTGAAATAAAAGTACAGAAAATGTGCATTGCAAGATACTTCGGAATTAGCGAATTAAACAACGATTAAGGAAGTTCTTAACACGTAATCACTTGCAAGGATATATTTTTAATCAAAGATATGTAATAATTGATTTACTTAGATATGCAAAAGAATCTCTGAAACTTTTAATGACATAAAGAGTTAAGTACAATTTAACAGTTAAGTGTGAGAATCAGATCTCAGTTTCTCTATCTCTGCTGATGACTCATGAAATGTTCGAGCGTGAGGAAAAGCACACGACGAAGAAACTGACTCCTCCGACTCGATTTCGCGCCGAAGCTGCCCCTCACGAGAGATCCGAGACAGTTCGAAACCTGTCGGCGCGTATCTCTCTCCGGCGAAGGGAGCCGGCGAAAGACCGCTGGAGATAGTACAAAAAGGGGGCGACAACAAAGCGGAGGACGAGGAGAGAAGGAGGAAGACGGAGAAGAGGAGGTAGTGGAGAGGCGCAACGAAGAGATGAAACGAAAGGAAACGAAAGGTGGAAAAAGGAGCTAAAGAAACGCGAAAGCCGGGGAATTAAAGGAAGATTAAGAAGGCGGTTGCAGCAGAAAGGGAGGTCGAGGCAGCATCTTGAAGGACCTGCGGAGGAGAAAGGGACTCCAGAGGAAGAGAGAGATAGATAGATAGATAGATAGAGGGAGAGAGAACAAAAGAACTATCGCGAGTATTCCCCGCCACCCCCCCGAGCCGCATTTCTCCGCTTCGAGCGACGGAATCGCTTTCGAAGGGGGAAGTCCGCTCGCATAACTGATCCGTATTAATGAGAAGCGTTAATTAACGCAACGTCGTGGCCGATGAAGCCGTTTTCGTTGTCGTCCCAGGTGCACCGGCCACGCCGGGTCCCTTAAATATATACTCTCAGAATGCGTATGACGGAAGACCCGCGACGAGAAGAAATTATAGGTTCGCTTAAGTAACAAAACTGATCGCTAAAAAACGAATAACGTGTATATATCATTATTATACAACGCGGAGTAATAATTGACTTGACAATTAAAGTTTCCGAACGGCAGCACGAGAGATGTTTTAATTGACGATCAGGTACTAGAAAGCCAGCGAAGGAAACCGAAGTTCCTTACGACGGAGTTCCAGGCCTTAAAACCTGCTTTGGCCCGGACCCTTGCTCTTCCCCGAAATCCTAATCTTAATTAAATTTATATCCATTACGCCTGACGACGCGCTCGACCGCGCCGTATCGCCGCGTGAGGAATTTCTCCCGTGAGCTGGACACGTCCTCTCCGTTTAACACGGAGGCTGAAAACGTGCGGCATCTATTATACTCGGCAGCGGCTTCTTGTACTCGACTTCGACTTTGTAACAATATTTTCTTTCCCTTCTTTTTTTCTACGCCGCAAGACGAATTGATTTCACTTACTTAGGGGTATCTATCGAAGGATCGTTCAGATTGCAAAGCAACGCAGATTTCCCTTTGCAAAAATATTCCTTTGGATTTAATTTTCGTCTATCGCTCCAGCCAGAGAGGAAAGATTAAAACGAGAGTCACGCAATATGATAGAGTGAGTCTTAAATTTTTTTCCTGAAGTGAAATTCGGTGTCGGCGAGTGGAACGCATTTTCACCGCCTTCGGTTTCGAGTAGTTTTTACCTGATCCTCGTCCCGGCGACAAGAGGGTTGGAGAAGGGTGAACAGAAGGTGCGTTGAGGCAGGACGAGGGAGGGTGGAGGAGGGAACAAACGGACCCGAGAGAGAAAGATAGATAGATAGATAGAGAGAAAGAAGAGAGGTCGGGATAAAATTAACGAATGTGGCTCCACAACGGGCGAGATAACGTCGTGATAAATTTACGTCCGACCGGTGGCCTCTCACTGCGCGTTCCTTCGGCGTATACGATCGATCTACCCTCGTGCCCTTCTTACCTTGATGAATTGTAAATCTCTCGATGCAACGGAATCAAGACTGGACTTTAGATACCTCATCAACGGGGAATGCTGCTTGCTGCGGCGATAATTCGTCACCGTGTAAATTAATAGAAACACTCGTTGGAAACCGTTACTATCGAGCTCTCTTCGCTCGTATCAAATTTAGTAATTAATAATAGGGTACTGATTCCTATCACTAAACTTAAATCTAAGAAATTAATCTACATACAATCTTTTTTTAGATGTGATCTTTATTATTTACAATAAATTTACAAATTATTATATACATATGTAAAATTATTAATGTTTAAAATAGCATGGTGTAATAATCGCCAATCGACAATCTTGCTTGCGGGAAACGGCATTTTCGAAACGGAGAAGATTTTTAATCGCAAGTTTTATAATCGCGGAGCGGCCCCCCGTCGAGGCGACAATTTGTTATTTGCCAGTACACACACAGATACATACGAGATGCCCTATAACCGCGTTTGACAAATATCGCTGTACGCGCGTACCTGTTGCACTGACGAGTGATGCACTTACGATCCGAAGGTGGCTGGACGCGCCGGCGGCGATGGATATACACGCACGCGGTGTGTGGATATAAGGGCTGCGTACGTGAATTCGCGTGGCCGAGTGTGGTCGTGTGTGAAGATCGGCGGCGAGAGGGCGAGGTGAGGGCCCGCTGGGTACGCCGGGCTCGGCGTTAGGTCCGTGGGGCCCAGTCAAGGCCTCCAGACATCGTCGGCGGGGGGGCCGTGTGTGAATCTTTGAGCATCGCTGCCGAGAAGGACGAAACGATGGTCCTGGACCCGATGAACGAGCCGGCGATGTTGTATGCGTATGCAATATCCTACAAAGATCCCGAACATCGCTCGAAGTACTCGGGATCTCATAATGGGTTCTGCCGATTAAAAGCGAGAGTATACGCTTGATTGAGAGAAAGAGAAAGAGAGAGATGAGAGATTAAATAAAATCAAATTATATACATAAATCATAAAATAAAAATACATTGTTGAATCCTTCGTTCAATCAAGAATGTCCCGGTTGAGAATGACCTGCCAAGGTCGAGATGATCGTGCCGGATAATTAATTAATCCTCATTAATTCGCGACGACGCGCGGAGTAGAGTCTCGCCGGCTGGGCCTGCAGGAATGAATGGAGGCCTCCTCATCGGCAGCCAGCGACACAGAGAGAGGCTTTTAAAGACGGCTTGCCTCCGCGGCCGTCGTCGTCGTCGTCGTCCAGCGTGACCGACAATGCGTGCGCGTATACGACGATTGCGATCGTAATTTATTACCGCGCCGGGAAATACGAGTCGCTGCGCACCGCATACGAGTGAATCTAAAATGCACGTAATCTGCGATCCGTCCATCCCTTTGGTCCCAGGGGCCGACGGCTTCGTCCAGGACGTATACGGGACGGACAGTCGGACAGTCCGAGCGCAACGGTGCATGGACGGGGCACACCTCCTCCCTCCCTTCCCACCTCATCCTGCACTTCCTCCACCTACCCGATTTCGCCGCGATTTTTTTCTCATTATCCTGGACGATTCCTCTTCTTCGTTTTCTACCACCGGCTAACACGTTTTCGTCCTTTTCCAATCCCTCTTTGCGTCGTCGTGCCCGCCTCCCCCTTCCCGCGCGCAAAGATACTCGGCCGCTATCTTCTGACAAAGCGCGGCGTACATGCCGAAGAAACGCAAGAATAAAATCCTTAATGCATCTTGGATGATAGCCGGATAGCCGGTGATCAATGGTTATCGCGTCGCGTTTAAGGATGATTATGCAGAAATAAAAAAAGCGAAAAATAAGTGTTGGCCGCAGTTAATCCAATAATACGAAGCGGCTCGTGCAATTGATTGTTGCTAATTAACGTCATTACAATGAGATAAAAATTAATAATGTATCGCTTCGAATTAAGGATCCGTAGAAAGGAGCAAAAAAGTTGAGAAATCATTTTTAACTGCAGCCAGAGACAATCGCGGACATGTGGTAGCTCGCCCCGAGGGTGCAATAAAAATTCCGTCGCGCCGGTAGCGTGTATTAATAGCGCGATTAGCGGCGCGCGGGAAAGGTGCGGATGTGTGGAAGGAGCGGTAGATGGAACGGAGGCTGTGCAATTTATGTATATATATCTCCAAATGCCCCGGAGGTGGGTCAGGCAAGCCGCTCGACTTTATCGCGCTGCCGAGAGCCGTGCGGCTGGACGCGTCAACGAGGTGTCGTTTAACCCGCCTGCGACCGGTACACGATACGGTTCATCTTCTCCCCGAGC